AACTCGTACGGTTTTTTTTTTGTTTTTTCAACTTTCGTCTGTGAAGAATTTAACTTTTTCAACTTTTATCCCCCCCCCCCAAAGTACCAACTAGATGAAATTTGCGATTTATAGAGTTGCTACACGCAGGAATTGGTTCAGTATTAAAAAAGTTACAGTGTATACAGATAAAAAAAAACACACATCAGAGTAAAACCAATACCTTCTCGCTTTGCATCGAAGCTAAAAATACATATGTCAATATACAAATATCAACAAAAACATTGTACCTAATGACAATTATGTGCTTAAAAATATTTTGTTGTATTAGGGTAGACACGATAAGGTTGATCGCCATAATATCAATAATAATTCGCAACAAATGTGTTTAAAATCGTGAACAAACGCGTTTATTTTATCATTTATTTATTTTATTTTACATATGACAATCGGCTAATAATTATAATGATAATAATGGGAATACTAATGATAATGAAACTACATAATAATAACAATAAATAAGCATATCTCAAATAAACTAATTTAGTTCAATATGCAAACTTTATTTATTTATTTAAATATAATTTTAAAATAAATAAACGATTGATATCTAGTATTATTCGCTACTTAACTCAAGCGGAGTACTGATATCCTCGCGTAGTTGTACATTTAGTTTTTTTTGTTTAGAGGCATTTACTTGCATATATACGCCAAAAAATCTAGATAGTTTGTATTTTACAACACCCCCTTTTAGTACTACCATACATTCATCATCATATGACTTTAAAAAATAAGACGTGTTTGAAGAAGTTTTAAGACTAACCCACATTGCTATCAAAGTACAAATCCTATTAGCAGATTTCTCCTTGTCTAGTTTCTCCTTGTTGATTTCAGCTAAAAAATCAAAAAGCAGTTGTTAAAAATAACCAAATTTAACTTATATGCCACTATATTCCTTTCAGTGCAAGACACAATTACTAAACGTAAATAAAACAAGTTATACAAACATATTTAGTATGTATAATAGTAAAAATCTCAGCTTTCTGAAAAAAATTATAATTTTTTTTTGTTTATTATTTACTCTCAATAAAAATGAGTTTATAATTTATAAATATGTTTTTTTTGTTGCCCAAAATTTAAGAATTTTCTTTAGAAAGCTGAAAAATTGTACATTAAATGTGTAAACAGAAAACTTCTTGTCAACCGAGATAATATCAGCTAAAAAAACAGAATACAGTTGCTAAAAATTGCCAAAATTAACAATTATTAGCCACTATTTTTTTTATTTGTGCAATTGATGTTTATTAATTTGACAAAATTATTAAACGTAAATGAAATAAGTAATACAATTATATAAAACATGTATAATTGTAAAAAATCTCAGTATTCAAAAAAATATATGCTTTTTTTTTTGTATTAATAGTTATTTAAAACGAGTTTAAAATCATGCTGTAAAAATAAATGTTATCAAAAAAATAAATAATATTAAATCTTTTTATTTATAATCACCTAATTTTTTGGTAAGCACATTTATAATAGCATTTCCAGTAAGACCTCTTCTCGCCTTTCCAAGTTCGGTCAATTTTGAAGTTTCAGTATCTGCATAAGTGTATAAAAAGCTGGTTTGAAAATATAATTTTTAATAATATATTCGTATGTATTTTGATTTTTTTAATTTAACACCCTAATAAGTAAAAACAGAGTGGGAAGGAACGCAAACAATTATGGTAATTATTAGTTTCGGTACCTGCATAAATATTTATATGAAAAACTGGTTTGAAAAGATTAATAGTTTCGTAATTATTTGTTTTATTTTTAAAATTTAATGTCCTAATAAGTACAAACAGAGGGAAGGAACGAACAAAAATTTGATAACTGGAATATCAGGATGAAGCCTAAAATTGATGGAACCTAGAAGGGGTGAACAAATAAAATAGAGATAAGATTTTAGCAAAAAGGCGCGTATGCTGAAAATGTATTATGTATTCGTTCAATTTTTATCTGGTTCTAAGTTTGGTAAGGTTGCAAAAATTACTATTTCATTCTAGAACCCTTAAAACAAGTCTCCCCAACTTATAGTAAATTGTTATGTGAACAATATAATAATATATAAAGCAAATTTTATCTTTCAAATAAGTCATAAGTTCTGATTAATACTAACTAGTAGCATAGTAAATTCGATTGTATTCGTCATCATGCATAGTACTACCTGTAACATCATTTTCTGTAACAAATAAATTATATAGTTAGTCAAACCGTGATGTTGTATGTATCCATAGCAGTAACTCTAAAAATGAGAATCATTTGGCCAATTAATGAATGCAAAATATAATATTAACACAAAACCTATGTCTTTTAAAGCCTTTTTAGCTACCGCGTTTAAGTGATCTCTAAAATATAGAGAAGGCGTACATAAGGTGTTAAGATCATTAATAGAAAAAACTCGATGGAGTTGAATACCATGAAGAAAGAAGTCGTGCAGTAGCGGAATACGGTTCCAGGAAAATGACAAAATATGACATTTTTCAACATACAGTGTCAGACCGTTGAGATGAGCCAAATACAGAAAAAACCTAAGTTCAATATGTAGTAGGCAACCATCCACTGATACAATACTAAAAAAATGTTGATGTCGTAATAGAAGGATCAGAAACCGCTTCTTGAGCATAAGTGTATTCTTAAAAATTGATACACGCCGTTCAAAATAATACCCGAAATATAATAGTGGTAAAAGGTTATTAAGGCTCCCCAACTAAAATTTAACTTTTTAGTTATTATTGTGTGAACAAAAGAAATTGATAAGCAAATTGTATCTTTCAAACAAGCAATACTATATATTTACTATCATCTTTGTAAATGCTTTTGTTTTCATCAGCATGCGCAGGAGTACCTGTAAAACAAATATTAAAACATTTTTTAGTTAACTAAACCCGGTCTATTGTATTTATTCATCTCAGTTTCAATTAATCAATGCCAAATATAGTGTTGATTTTAAGTCGATAAGGCCCCCTCCGCTCAAGAAATAAATTAAAATATACGTGTATTACTGTTACACAAAAAAATTTAATTATCTCTAAAAAAAACCCACAAATTATCAATATAGTACAAATAAATTGATTATGTAAAAAGTAATACTTTAAAATTGTATGTTTATATTTACAACAAAGTTTGCTCGTAACAATTTTTCTCGCATTATTAAATGTGGTACATTTCGAAATTCCATCACCTGCACAAATTTATATATAAACTGGTTTATAATACAGTATTTAATAATATAATCGTATTTATGTTTTATTTTGATATTTAAATCACTAATACGCATTTTTTTCACAAATGTACAAAAATATCGCATACAAAGTATAATATAGAAGTGCAATAATCAGTCAAACAATAATATCTTAAACAATGAACAAAAAACTATACAGTATAGTTCAAATTATAGTATTAGCATTAAGCCGATGGCTCTTAAGGTCCTGATAGCTACAGCATTTATACACAAAATATAGCGAAGGTATGTACTACGAAGCACATAAACCACGTAGAAGAGAATTATAGCTCCTAAAAATTTTCATAATAACCAAGGAGATGAGCCCAGTCAAGAAATCAAATAACTTCAGCTTGTAGGTTTCAATAATCCGCGGAAAAAGCAATTACTAATGAAAATATATATCATGTCGTCTGCAAAAAAAAAAGAACTTCTTGTTTTTGCAAAAGTCCCTCTAATGAGCTAACAAAATAAAGAGGACTAAGGTGGTCCCATTGATAGACGCTTGAGGAGATAGTAGAAGGTTCAGAAACCGCTCTGTTCGCTTTAGTGCATTCTTTCCTATCGGAAAGGTAAGATGTGAGGGGTTTCCAATGTCAATTATTAGCGTAGAGTACAATGATAAATGAAGCGTTATTAGTGCTATGAGTACTATGATTCAACCAGCTCTTGGTAGTATATCAAACAACAAGAACTAGTATCGTATTTTGTCTGTCGAGTCATAAGTATTTGCTAACATAAAACGTCAACAATCTATTACGTTAAAAATGGTATTTTGTGGCAAAATGTTAAAAATTGATAAACGCTGTTCCAAAAATTACTCTAAATATAATAGTTGTTAAAATTATTATAACAGTAAGTCTCCCCAACTAAACTTTACTAAATTTTTTGTAATTAACTTTGTAATTACTTTTAGTTGTATCAGCAGGCATAGGAATTTCTGTAACATACATTTTAAAAAAATACCGTTTTAAACCCTTTTATTACATTGATCCATAACAGTTACTAAAAAAGGAGATAACTTTGACCAAACAATAAATTATGTGCTTTTAAAATTTACATAATTGTCAATAATGTGTAAAAAAATAATGTGGAAAGAAAATTTGATCGTTCAATCAAATCATAAGTTCTTTATACTACTAATGAATAACTTTGTAAATACTTTGTTTTTCATCATTAGCCGCCGGAATACCTGTAAAAATAATTTTAAAAATAATTTAGTTATTTAAACTCGGTTTGTTTATTTATCCATAACAGTTTCAATTAATTAATGCTAAACATAGTATTAATATTAACTGTTGAATAACTTTGTAATTACTTTTGGGTTTATCAGCACGGATACCTGAAACAAGAATATAATACAGCTACGTAAACCCAGTTGTTATATTAATTTATAACAGTCATTCGAAAAATAAAATTACTTTGACTAATAAGTCAATGCAAAATGTTTTATTATCATAAAATTAATCTCTAGCAAGTAGTAACGTTTGAAATAATACTTTCTTCACAATGAATTTAATAATAATCAAATTTGTTATGTGTATTAATTCTCTCTTTTACAAAATTTCTTGTGACCTATTATTCCTTGATGAACCTAATTATATTCAGTACACTTCGAAATCGTTAAAGATGTGTTTGAAAAACCTAAGATATGTAACAATCTAATATTTTTGTAGTTTTTGTTTACATTTACGTTTTAAGGGGCTTTTTGGCCTTAGAAAGTTGTTTATTAAAAAACTGATAATTTTATAATCACCTATTATGTTAAAAATATCCTGTTGCATTTTATATTTTTCTGTCATTATGGAATCTAAATTTGAAAATAAAACCAATATTTTACAATATATAATTATTTGTATTATATTAAAGTGTTAATTGATTACGTTCTAGAGAGTCATAGGTTTTAGTATCTGCATGTTCTGAAATTAAAGCGAAAAATGTATATACTTTTTGATTATCAAGCGACTGTGTGAAAATATGTTAAAAAAAGTATTACCCGGTACAATGAACATTTGATTTAAATATTCTGAAAAAAGCAATAAAAAAATTGTTGTAATGAATTTAATACTCTATTCTATCATAATCTAGGGTAGAAAAGCTAAGAAAAAATAATATGTGTGTTAGAAATTCGAAATAAAATGGCTAGCTCTATAATATTAAGTTATATAGAATAAGACTATTATCACTGAACATTAGCCTTAACCCTTTCACTGTCCTAGACGTGCTACTATTCTACAATCAATCAATTAATTACGAAACCTTTTTCAGTATGGCGATAGTTGTGACATGTAGCAGTGGGTAAAGCACAATGGCAGTGAAAGGGTCAAAGATATATTTTTGTTGTTAACTGTACACATTTCTATAGGTACATTTCTTCTTTAAACAAGAATTTTAATATCACATAATTATTATTACGCGTTCTATAGTAATCTTTATCTATCATGACTGTAAGTACATGCTCCAATCCATCTAAAACAATCAAATACAAGTTCGACCTTTAGAAAAGTTCCAAATAAAATTAAAATTAATAAAAAAAAATCATTAGAAAAAATTACCCCTGTTAAGTAAATAATCAATTTTTAGAGTCAAGTGTGCTCTTAGTAAATTATAGTAACTTTTAGTAAAGGCTCGTGCCCCCATGCGACAGTGCACAGATCCAATCAAAAATATAAAACTACCACATTTTGAAGATGCCACTCCGCCCATGTATTAAAAAGTTTTGTGCTGGCAATTTTTTACAAAATCTTAAATTAAAGTTAATGTTAAGTTTCATAACTTTCAGGTGATAAAGGTAACTTTTTTGTAAGACAATTTTTGGAGGCGCTGTATCATGAAAGCCAAACTCGTATTATTATAACAAAAAATTGCATGGGCGGCATCCTCTTAAATATAAAAATAAATTTATATTTTATTTACAAGTAATTTGACACCTAGGCAATCATTGTAATACAATTATATATTAGTACATTGATTATTATCTTACTTTTTATATGATCATCTTTATAGTCAGAAGCTTTCTTGATTTGTATGTCTGTAGTAAATGTTTTAAAAAAAATAGGTATGTGTAAAGTTAGTGAAATTTAAAAACTCTCAAAGTTAGTCTATATGATTATAAAATATAACTCACTTGAAATTTCAACCATCTCTATATATTCCACTGTAAAGAATAGTTAAATATTAATTTTTTTTAGATTTTCATCTACATTGTGTGCTTAAGTATAAATAAAATACTTACTTATACTTATATCTGCCAAAACATTTACGCAGATTAGTGATATTAAAACATAGGAAATTTTCATTTTTATCTAGAAAAATTAATAAATTTAAAGCAATTGATATAAGGCTCGGGTCTTCCGTAGTAGTCGTGATGAGAAAGTTTTGGTTTTAAAATTTGTTTTATACATTTTTTATGATTTTTGACTAGAGATAACTTAACCTAACCGAAAAATAGTTTTTTGTTATTTATCTAATTCATGTCTTTTAGGATTATTTGAGTTAATTTCAATTACTTGAGTGGGATATTGACATTTTTTTGTCTTAGCATATACACGGAAAAATCGACACTATTTACAATCGACTCCGGTTATCATAACGAAAAAATCGTAGTGGTTAGGTGAGACGTTTAGCACACCTCGGATAAACATTATGTTTGTCTATATTTCGGCAATACAGTAAAATAAAAACATATTTTGCATCGCATCTTTGTTAGTTTATTTACAAAACAGTTTTTTAGCACCGATGCCGAGCTAGTATTCCTATGGTGTGTTTTTTTTTGTATTTGCAAACACGATACTATGTTTTTCTATGGCCTGATTTTCATTAGATACTCGAAATTATATGTGATTGGGTCAAAAGTACAAAAAATCTAACGATCCGGCTTTTATTTGATACACTAACAATTTTGATAATGGTAATCATTTTTTTTTTTTTTATACTAATTTTAACTTGTGTTAATATATAATTGATACCACAGAATATCAACATTGGCTTGTGCTTATATATTTACTTTTAGTCTACATTTATTCGAAAAAATGCAAACCAGTCGATAATTTGTTCTGATATTATTATTTTTCAAAATTTGTACTTATATTTTTAATAAAATTATATTTGGTACTTCAACGAGATATGAAAATACTCTTTCGTGATTGCAGACTTGGATGAAAAATGTTTCCTATATTTTTAGGTGCTTGTATATTCTACTATAGTTTTCAACACATAGAGAATTGTTATAATAATTTAATATGGTTTTAAATAAATAACTACATAACATGTATCTCACATAAGATGGATTACCCGGTATAAGATTTATTTAGAGTATCTGCGGTATGGATGAAAACTTTTACCATAAACAAAGCAACAAGAAACTACGAAAAATGGTAAATTTTTTAAAATTACAACTACGTTCTAAGTACATTTTGTTTATCCATATATTGGCAATACAGTAAAATAAAAACTTTTTTTGCAGCGCATCTTTGTTAGTTTATTTACAAAACAGTTTTTTAGCACCGACGCCAAACTAGTATTCCTATGGTGTGTTTTTTTTTGTACCTGCAAACACGATACTATGTTTTTCTATGGCCTGATTTTCATTAGATACTCGAAATTATATGTGATTGGGTCAAAAGTATAAAAAATCTAACGATCTGGCTTTTATTTGATACTCTAATAACTTTGATAATGGTAATTATTTATTTTTTAATTCTAATTTTAACTAGTGTTATCATATAATTGATACCACAGAATATGAACATTGGCTTGTGCTTATATATTTAATTTTAGTCTAAATTTATTCGAAAAAATGCAAACCAAAGGTAATTTGTTCTGATATTATTATTTTTCAAAATTTATACTTGTATTTTAATAAATTAAAAATATGAGGTAAAAATAAAGCTTGAACTTTGAAATAAATTTTAAAAATATAAAATCAAAAATTTTGCATCGTGGACACAAATTTAATATATAGATACATATTATGTTTGTATTTAAATGACAATTATTATATCTATTCAAACAATTTATCATAAACTAAGCAACTACGAAAAAATTGTTTTTTTTATTTAAAATTACAACTATATTCAACTTCTAAGTACATTTTTTTTAGACATATTTCGGCAATGCAGTAAAATAAAAACATATATTGCAGCGCAATGTTGTTAATTTATTTAAAAAACAGTTTTTTAGCACCGATGCCGAGCTAGTATTCCTAGGGTGTGTGTTTTTTTAACTATAAACACGATAATATGTTATTCTATGGCCCGATTTTTATAAGATACTCGAAATTATATGTGATTGGTTCAATAGTAGAAAAAGTCTAATTAATCACGCACAGAATCGATAAAAATCTAAAAAAAAATTATTAATTTTTCAACTTTTGACGTTAGCTTTCTATAAAATAGCGGAAAACTATCGAATTAAGACAAAATTTTAATAAAATGTTTATCAGGCATGTCCCTATTCTCAGGTATCCTCAAATCCAAATTTAAATAATTCTGCACTCCCTGCAGGATTGATTTTTTAAAAAAATGGTATTTAGTTTTAAAACTGATTTAAAATAAAAAAATTTAAAGAAATTTGGATTTATATGTTTAATATAACAAGAATAAATTATAATTTTGTGTATTATTATTAGATAAACGTGTTTAAAATTCATCTATTTCTGTTTGAAAGCGTACTTACAGCTTTTGAAGTCTGATAGTATTACTTGGAATAGTTGATTAAATGTTATCGAAGGTCTAATACGGAAAAATAAATAAAATTTATTAAAACATATTAAAAGTTTACAGTTTTACCATATTTGACATTTTGGTAGTATTACTTACTTAAAAAACTGCAACGATAGTCAAACCGGCTGCTGCAAAGGTTTACTTACGACTTGCCGAATGGCCTTTATTATGTCGTCCAAAAAAATAAAATCTAGAAATGTTTTTCAAAATTGTTTATGCGAATTTATTTACACAAGCAACATTCGATATTTACATTAATCTAAAGCGGAATATAACTAAGTTTGCATCAACAGTAACTTTGCATCAACATGTTTTTGTGTGACTCAGAATAATAAACCAACAAGCACCAATGCATACAGTGTGAATCACATTGTCAGTAATACTTAAGTAACCATTTTAGTAGCTCGGTGACGTTATTTCTGGGATTCATTTTGTTTACATTAATCTGAAGCGGAATATAACTTATGTATATATATAAAGTATATGAGTACTGAAAAATGTATGGTGATACTATTGAGTTTGCAACAACATGTTTTTATGTGATTCAGAATAATAACACAACAAGTACCTATGCATACGGTGTGAATTGTTATGTATAATATATAATTATAGCACAAAACACTTTTTTAACAAACAAATCGTTTTTATGTATACAACGTTTAACCCTTATTAAAATTAAAGTATAAACCTAAAACTGACTCTTTAAGTGTGAGGGGTAATAAACAATACTATGAACAGTTGAGATCACATTCTTATTAAACCCTATGAAATATTCAGTGGTTCATGTTGAAATCATTACCCTGAATTGGACATTATTTGACATTGGTCAAACTTTTTTCCTTAAGGGGAAAAAAATCTGAAAATTAATTTTGACGGTAGTAAATTTTAAGTTTAACCAAACCACAACAAAAATTAAAGATCTAGTAATAATTTTTATTAAAAAATTAATTTCGGGCTGATGTGTAAGAAAGGTTAAGAATATCATCATTTGATAAAGTAAGGCAAAAATAGAGAGAAATAAGGTCCAGTGTTTACAGATACATATACAAGTATCGATAAAATCTTTGTAACTAATGACAATTATTATTTGATTGAAAATTATTTTTTAATATTAGGTTGGATTCGATAGACACCCATGTATGGTAATTAACAATATGATGACGTAATTTATTATACCTCTCGTACTGATGATTGAA